CAACGTCTCATACACACACACACACCAGATATTATTTATAAATGGCATATTATTTATGCTTTCCTTTAGTGATTTATTATGAGTCATCTGAATGACTCGTCATGAGAAGAATGTAGTTATTTATAATAAGTGTGGAAGTATCCAGTTAGGTCCTTCTTCTAAATAATTGTGTAAAAGAATGATGCTACCAAAATTCAATTCATATTTTTTCTTTGGTATTTGAACTTCTCTAATTTTTGCTACTCCAAACATATCATGTCATGTGCTGCTATATGCATATTCTTTGGTATTGACCGTTTGAAATTTTTGTTGGATAAATTCTAAAATGAATTTCTTCACCAAAGGTTGTGTGTGTGTGTGTGTGTGTGTGTGTGTGTGTGTGTGTTGTTATTGATTTAATTTCTAGTCAGCACAGGCTTGAGTGAACTGGCCTATAAAGCCTTTACTATACTTTATATTTTATTTTCATTTTCCTTGATTACTAATGAAGCTGAGAAAACTTTTCCACACTTATTAACCGTTCAGAATTTTATTTCTACTTCTTCTCTTCCCCTGCACATTTCTCCTTTCTTTCGAGAAAGGCGGGCCTGATTAGCTCAGGCTAGCCTTGAAGTTGTGAGGCTCCTACTTCAGCCTCTAGAGCATTGGTGTTACTGATGAATATCCCTGTGCTGAGCTTAGATTTCTTTTAGGATTCTTTGAAAGACAAATCTTTATTTTTCCATGGAGCTATTTTTATTCTCTCTCCAATTTATAGATGCTCTGTGCACACTAGGGTGTTGTGCCTCTATGCGTTTTATCCCTTACAGGTTTTGACACCAATTATGCCTCTGCCTTTACTGCGGTTCCCCGTGTAAACTGCATTTGCAGTTAAATATGACTGTCATTTCTTCTGTGACTTTCTAGGTGTCTTATTTCTGACAGTTCCTATTTAAAGATGTGCAATTCTTCAAATGGTTACTAGTCTTTATGTATATTTAGTTTTTTATATTGAAAGTTTTAAACTTCCACCTAAATTTTAGTTCTCTGTGGATATATAGATGAGGACTCTGGTTTCTTCTACAGATATGAACAATTAAATCATCATGGATTATTAACAAACGTTATAATTTCACTCTTTTGTTTAGTTTATATTATTTTTAATTACTAAAGAATGCGCTCTTCTTTGGGATCTTTTATTCTTCCCCGCTGCCTTGTTTAAACATTTCAAATTAATTTAATTTCATATTGACATCCTTTCAGTTTCCAGATCCCATGACTCTAAAACGCGCTTTAAGCATGAAAAACATATGAATTTTAACTTGGATTTAAATTGTAGTTTAAGTAATTGTGTAATGCTTAGGTGTTTGCCAGTGTTTCTCATTTTCATGCTAAACTACTGTACAAATACCTGACTCTTTGTAAAGCTGAACTACCATTATAAAGCCAGCAGAGGGCGGACAAGTAGCTGTTTTGCTGGTGAGAAATTGAGAATAATTTTTAAATGTATTATCTTGCTGATTTATGGAATACACTTAAAGAATTAAAATATTTGCTCATCTAGGTATTTATATTGATCAAAGTTACTCCGACACAACCAAAACCTAAATATTTTATGCTTTCCCATATCTTACTGAATTTAGGGATAAGTCTGGATCTTTTGAAAGGGAAGAAGAATTCGGGGCATAAATTTAGTTTATGCAAACAACACAAGTAAGATGAAATTGAAATAATATGGAGTATATTAGATGTGATGCCTACTTTTTTTAAAAGATCAACGCTAGGGAACATTGCAAATGATTGTAGAAGTATAATTACATATTTTTTTACCATACATTTCATAAGATGAATGGTGTTCTAATATGAGAACAGACATAATAAACAGTCTTTTGTGGATAACATCTATAGATAAATTTAAAGTTCTTATTATTTTACATCCATTGTAGAAAACTTGAAAATACTGTGAACACAACAAGCTAAAATGGGGTTAACTGAATGAGAATTCATAAATGGGCTATTGGGTAGTTTGAAAACCATCGTTATTCTGATGTTGTTTTTGTTTGTGGCCTGCTGCTTTTGCTGTTTATAAATATTAGAATGGTGGAGACTGCTACGAAGTAGGAAATGCTCCACCGAACCTCTCAGGGACAGTAATTCAATCAAGCAAAGGTTACGAAAGCCCCGAGGGCTATTTATTTATGTGACAACACAGATAGACCTGGTTTTGTTGTATCAGTGTTTTTAAGTCAGGAACCTAGTGTTAAGTTAATGCTCTATCAGGCCAGCGTTGTTACTCTGAATTTGCTGAATCTGTTTCATTTTTGTCCTACATTTGGTTTTATTTGTTTTCAAAATATAGATCTGCTGTATAATTATGTACACATACTTTAATATATAATTGTGATGTGTGAATATACTTTACAAATGACAATATAAATAAAATTAAATAGGGGACAATAATGTATTTAGAGTGATTTAGAAATTTACTCTGAATCTAAAATTTCTCTCCATTTAGTTTTATGTTGGCTGTTGGCTTGCAGTCTTTATTATTTTTAGGTATGTTCCTTGTATCCTTGCTCTCTCCAAGACCTTTATCATGAAGGGATGTTGTATTTTCTTGAAGGCTTTTTCAGGATCTAATAAGATGATCATGTGGCTTCTTTTCTTCAGTTTGTTTATATGATGAATTCCATTGACAGATGGAATTTTTTTATGTCGAACCATCCCTGCATCTCTGGGATGAAGCTGACTTGGCCATGGTGGATGATTTTTCTGATGTGTTCTTGGATTCGGTTTGCCAGTATTTTATTGAGTATTTTTCTTCAATGTTCATCTGGGGGATTGGTCTGTAGTTCTCTTTCTTAGTAATGTTTTTGTGTGGTTTGGGTATCAGAGTAATTGTAACCTCATAAAAAGTTTGGCAATGTTCCTTCTTTTTCTATGGTATGGAACAATTTAAGGAGTATTGGTATTAGTTCTCTTTTGAAAATCTTGTAGAATTCTACACTGAAACCATCTGGTCCTGGGCTTTTTTTGTTTGGGAGACTTTTGATGACTGTTTCTACTTCTTTAGCAGTTATAGTTCTATTTAATTTGCTTATCTGGTGTCGACTTAATTATCCAGAATATTGTTCATTTCCTTTAAATTTTCCAATTTTGTGGTGTACACATTTTTAAAATATGGCCTGATGATTCTCTGGATTTCTTCCATGTCTGCTGTTATGTCCCCCTTTTCAGTTCTGATTTTTTAATTTGCATATTCTCTCTCTGCATTTGGTTAGTTTGGATAAAGGTTTGTCTGTTTTGTTGGTTTTCTCAAAGAACCAACTCTTTGCCTCATTGATTCTTTGTATTGTTTTGTTTGCCTCTATTTTGTTGATCTTAGCTCTCAATTTGATGGTTCCTGCTCTCTAGTCCTCCTGAGTGAGTTTGTTTTTTTTATTTCTAGAGTTTTCAGGTATTCTGTTAGCTCATTAATGTGAGATTTTTTTCCAGCTTTTATATGTAGGAATTTAGTGCTATGAACTTTTCTCTTAACTCTGCTTTAATGTCTCACATAAATTTGACTATGTTGTGTGGTCATTTTAATTGAATTTTAGGAAGTTTTAAATTTCTTTATTTCTTCCTTGACCTGTTGATGATTCGGGTGAGCATTGTTTAATTTCCATGTGTTTGTGGGTTTTCTGTAATTAGTGTTGCTGCTGAATTCTGATTTTAAGCCATGATGATCCAATAAGATACATGTGATTATTCCGATTTTTGGTATCTGTTGATACTTGCTTTGTGACCTAGTATGTGGTCAGTTTTTGAGAAGGTTCCATGAGGTGTTGAGAAGAAGGTATATTCTTTTATATTTGTATGAGGTGTGCTATAGATATCTGTTAAGTTCATTTGAGTCATAACATTTGCTAGTTCCCTTATTTCTCTGTTAATTTTCTGTCTGACAGACCTGTCCAGTGATGAGAGTAGAGGGTTAAAGTCTCCCACTATTAGTGTGTAGGGTTTAATGTGAGATTTAAACTTTAGAAGTATTTCTTTTACAAATGAGTGTGTCTTTGTATTCGGGGCGTAGATGTTCAGTATTGAGATTCCCTCTTGATTAATTTTTCCTGTGACTAATATGAAATGTCCTTTGTTTCTTTTGATTGATTTTAGTTTGAAATCTATTTTGTTTGATATTAGAATAGCTACAGCAGCTTGTTTCTTAGGTTCATTTGATTGGAAATTTTTTCTCTCAATCTGTTATTCTGAGGTGATGTCTGTCTTTGAGGTTGAGGTGTGTTTCCTGTTTGCGGCAGAAGAATGGATTCTGTTTCTTTTTTTTTTCATGAGAAAATGCAGCAAACACATTCACATTTTTTTCTTTTTTTAAGCAAATGACAAAGACCCAAGTTACCAGCTTTTTTAAAAACCTAAGCCTAACATTACATATTTAAACAATTTTCAGAACTGACAAATTTGCCAGCATCCACGCACAACTAGAAAACATCCTTAATTTGCAGTAAACCAGAAATGCATTACCATTGATGCAGTAATAGCCCTCATTCCTAAATACTGAAAATAAAATTGAAATATTTCTGTAGAAGGTTCATCTGGCAATGCTATCTTCACAGCAGGCTGCCACTACCCACTCACAGTTCAACACAATGGGAAGCAGATCCATGCTGGTGTCCAAGAACAATTTTGTTCTAACACTACTCAATAGTCACAGGGCTCACCTCGGATTATGGTTTGTTTGTCTTGTTTAAAGCAAAGTGCATACATAGATTACAACAATTTTTAAGACAAAAAATAAATGGTCCTATTTTGTGGTCCCAGCAACAAACTCAAAAGTCTAAGACAATTAGGGGCTCCGATGAGCTGTTTTATAAATTTAATTTTTTAAAAAATTACTTTAGATTAGGTACAGTTATACAGAAAGTTGAGTTCGTTTGAAATCTTTTTAATATTTTTCTGTTATTCCTCAAATGGTGCTTGTTATGGTTTAACATTTCTGTTAAATGCATGTTTTGAATTACTTGTTATCCAAGGTGCTCCTTACCATTTATCGTCAAGGGTTTTAACTGTCTGTCTTCTTCAACTTCTACTCCTTCTTGACCATTCTCCACAATTCTCTTTGTAGTAATTTATTTTTGCCATTAATTACCTTAGTAGAAATTGACATTTATTTGAAGGTGCCCATTCCGCTGCCACCAAATGGTGCTGAAGAGAATGACGTGAGACCCCCGTGTCCTAGTGACCCGAAAGAACTTAATCCTGCATCGAAAGCAGGAAATCCACTACCAAAAGAAGGAAATCCACTGAAGGCAGAGAAAAACGAGCCTGCATCTCGGCTTTTATTTCCTCAGGAGGCCCTTTGGCTCCCCAAAAAATCATCAAATGGATCTTCAAGGAAGTCAAATGAAAATGGGTCCCTCCCACCAAAAAATTCCCTGAAGACATCATCTGGATTCTGGAGTGTGAAGCCAAACTCAAACGGACTGTCAAAATGACTTCCACCTCCTCCTCCACCACCGTTTAATTCTTCTTTGCCGTATGTGTCATAGATGTCCTGCTTTTTTGCATCGGATAAGACTTTATATGCCTCAGCTACTTGCTTGAATTTCCGCTCTGCTGCTTCTTTATTTTCAGAATTTTTGTTTGGATGCCATTTAAGTGCCCGTTTCTGATACGCCTTTTTAATGTCCTCAGGTGTGGCATGTCTCTGCATGCCCAGAACTTCACAGTAATCCACCACGTTTTAACAGATTGTTGGAACAAATCCGAGGACCCGACAGCCCAGCCACGGGTGGAAGTTGGTCGGCGGGTCTCCTTGCAGCCTGGCACAGCTGTTTTCATATCCAATCTGTTAGCCTGTGTCTTTTTATAGGTGAGTTGAATCTATTTATATTAAGGGCTATCAATGACCAGTGATTGCCAGTTCCTTTATTTCAGTTTTTGGTTTTGGTGATGTTATAGTATGTGTTTTTCCATTCTTTGGGATTTGCTGCTGTGAGACCATCTTTAACTGACTCTTTTCCCTGCTACTTAACCTTGACACGACCATAATCCATTTTCTCATTCCTCCACTTTCTTTTCTCCTAATTAATTTAACAGTTCACACCCTTTAGTGTTCTCTTTCTCTTTCCCTCTCTTCTTTATGATTCCCTTTCTTGTCTTAACTGGAGAGCTTGTATTTAAACATTGGACCTATAGTTGTAAGTGTAGCGACAGGTGCTTGCACAAGGTTGTGGAGGGGGTTTATAGTGACTCTGAAGTTAGTCCATCTCCCTTCTGCACGAACTTGACCGAAAATTTTGGCTGTTTCCTCTGAGCATAGTGGGCTGCAGATGGGGATCTGGGCCTGCATCAGAACTGACTTCATGGAAGCATTTGGGGCAATTGTGAATATATGTGTCCCAGAAATTCCTGCGCTTTTGACCCTTTTTTCATAAACCTTGTTGACCATATTACAATATGCAATGAAAATCATAGAAGAAATTCAGTATATTCTTCAAGGTTGTTGGCTATATCTGTTAGATATTTCTGGCAAGGTGGTAGAGCTATGGAGTAGAATAGAAAAAGTAGTGAATTCCCTTTTAATATTTTATGTTTGATGATTGAACATTGTTGTAAAGAATTTATGAGTGATACACATTTAAGAGATCTCCCTGCAGCATAACATACAACACATTATTCTTTACAAATTATATTTATTAATAGTCATCTGTTTACTTAAAGAATAAATAGCTTGCTATGCAAATATTCCCTTTAGTCTTAGAAGTGTACATGAAAACAATTTTCTGATTATTCTGTTCTGCTGTGGACATTAACCAGTATTAGGCATTTTAGCACGAATGTGAGCACTTCCATTTTGAAGTTCATTCAAAAGACGATACCTCTAGGAATTCAGCAACCCTTTACATTTCAAATCTATCTGGTGTACCTCTAGGGAAATATCTTAGGTTGTCTTTCAATTAGTTGAGTTCAATTCTCAGAAAGCCTTTTAGCAACACTTCAGTGATCTCAAGAATCTACTTTTATAAGTCCCACTCAAGCTGGTAGAAAAAAAGTCCCTTCCCTATCTTGCATTCAGTGTTCAGTACAACCGTTGAGGACAACAGAAATTGTAGGGCATGTAGCACCACTTTCAAGATTTCAGATATGACTATGTAGGTCATACATGAGTGAAACAAGGAAGCCCCTGCCAACTTTCTCTCTTCCCCTCATTGTTTAGTTCAGATGTTCATCTTGCATAGCATGTTACTTTATTCAATGCTTAGAGATGGCCTGGCAGAAGTGAACATATGTTAGAGACACTGTTCACCTTCCATCAGACTACTGAAACAGTGGGCTGCAGAGAGATGGAAATTTCCACAGGAATCATATGTTAAGAGAAGAAAAAGCCCCTGGACAGAGGGAGAACTTGTCTCCTGGAAAGAGAATTCTCATAGCTCTAATCACTTACCAGATCACTTTAAAAGATGAGGCTAAGACTTAGGGTGATGGATCCGTGGTGGGAAATAATACACCTTGTTCTTAACTGCTTAGGTCTACACATCTTTGACTCTCTATTTAAGCTTTAGATTTATTAATCTTCCTTTATGTGCAGGAAAGTTTTGCCTGCATGTATGCATGTACATCATGTGCATTCCTGGCGGCTGCAGAGCTGAGAAAAGAACATTAGATCCCCTGGAACTGGAGTTATGGATGGTTATAAGACACCAAGTCGACACTGAAAACTGGACCAAGATTCTCTGAAAGAGCATCAAGTCCTCTTAATGACTAAGCCATCACTCAGTCCCCTTTATTTAAACTTTAACTCGCTTTCAAACCAAAGATGAATGTGGTGAAGTTCCACGTCTCTTCCATCTTCCTGATGTGGTCTCACTGAATAACTCTTCTTATGTTTTCCCCTGTTAATTAGTAGGTGAAAACACAGGAAAGGTAGCCAAACTTGACCTGGGGTGTAGGATATGATTCCCGAGTTTAATAACGCCTTGACTGGGTAACTTAAGGAAGGAAGAGTTTATTTTGGCTCACAGTTTGAAAATGTAGTCAATCCTGGTAGGGAAGCCACAGCAGTGGGGTATGAGGCAACTGATTACACATGTTCACAGTTAGGAAGTAGTTTTATGCTGATTCTTTAAGAAGTGAGTCTTTGTATTTAGGCCATTATCCAAGTTCATGGAATGCTATTGCCCACATTCACAGATTTTCTTTCTTCCTTGTAACCTCATAAATTTACCTGGAAATATATTTCCATGATTTTAACCCCATCAGGGTGACAATAAAGGCTAACTAACCATTAAAGAGAGCACTTAGAAAATATGAAAACTGAAGATTATTTAAGTCTACCTCTGATGACCTTAGGAAGTGAAGGAATCACCCAACCAGTAGTCTAGTCTAACATGATGCATATGTCTCTAACACATTTCCAGGCTTCTCTCTGAGTCTTTCTTGTTTATTGTTTGTCTTTGTTACTTTTCATTGCTGCTGCTAAGATCGTCAATGCAATTAAACCTATTCTTTAAAAAAAACTTTGTTTTTTATTATTTGATAATTTTGTGTATGTATATGGCATGTTTTGGGCAAGTCCACTCTGCATGTCTTTTTCTTCATGTCTCCTTTATCCTCCCCACCACTTCCCAATTTCATATTTGTTTGTTTATTTTCCCCTCTGCATACACTTACTGTTGCTTGTGCGTGTCTCGATGTAGGATCATCTGCTGAGCATGGTAACCTCTTGGGGCCCACATCCTCAAAAAATAAAAATAAAAAAACAAAAAACAACTCTTTCCCCAGCAATCATCAATAATTCTTCAGCTACAGGAAGGGCTTCACAACCATCTCATTCTTCTAAGATGGAATTTTGTTTCATCTTGGTCTTGTGAAGATCTTATATGTGCTATGACAAGTATGTGGGCACATATGCACAACTCCTCTGCTGTGCCTGGAAAAGACTATGTCACTGCTGTCAACCACTGCCTTTGGCTCTTACATTCTTTACATTTTCTTTTCTGTGACGATGCCTGGACCATAGGAAGACAGGTGTGGCATAGATGTCCCTGTTAGGGCTCAGACTTCTCTGTCTCTTATCTTCTGCTCATAGATTAGTTATGAGTCTCTGTGTTACTTGCCACCTACTGGCAAAAGAAACTTCTCAATGAGCGTGGGGATATGCATTAATCTATGGGTATAACGATAGAAGTACATGAAAAAAGCTTAATATTATGCCCACTTAGCAGGGTAGGTTCTTCCCTAGGTCCTATGACCTCTGTACCAACAAATTCTTACTTAACCCCAATAATTGCACCAGGCAGAGTCTTCCCTTGTGGAATTAAAACTGTTAATAAATGAGAGAAAAAGGAAATGGATGCTATTAGTGAAAGTTGTTTTGTTGAAGTGAGGAAGGAATGTTAAAAGAGGTTGTTGGGATCCGATTCCTGATAGGTAGAGTTGCATTGTTTTTTTCCCCATAGTATCTGATTTAATGGTTCTTTAGAGTCCTTATGTTGCATAAGACAAGACTTACACGTCTGCTTAAAAACACTTTCCTGCTAGTTAATAGTATTAACTGAAGCAGAGAACTTGTCTACCATGTCCCCAGCTGAATTTTAAATGCTTAAAATAGAGTATGGCACCAAGGAGACACTCAACTATTTTTAAAGCAAATCAATACCCCCTCATTGAGAGAACCACACACCACAGGAAATCAGTTTGCTTGTGTTTATGGCTTGTCTGTTTGCGTGGACATACTTGAACTGGAGAATAAGAACATCATTTTAATAATATATAATTACAAAAGGAAAGACTTAAATTCTTTGTCTAGAGAGAGAGATGTTTTGCTACTGAAAAGTACAAGATTACAGAGGGACACAAATTATCAAAGCATAATCATATGGCAGGCAGCACATGGTTTTCTTTAGATCATTAAATATTCCCTTTATGAAATTAATACCATATTTTCTTGCTACATTCTTTAAAAAGTAGATTTTTGTATTTATGTTGAAAAACATTCTGGCCATTTGACTAATATAAAACAGCGTTGGATGGAATCTTATAATCTATCACAAAATCTTAGGTTTAATTAGTATATATAAATATTATTTCATGTTTATTCAAGCATTCACTGAAGTGGTTGGCATATTTTTGGCAGTTCTGGTCAAATTGCTTCTTCCTTTGGGAAATGTTCAGGCCAAACTAACAATTTGACTTGTCTGACAGCCTTCATCAATGGTTGTCTGATTTTTTTTTTTATAGTGTAAACATTCTCTCAGGGCTGGAGAAATGTTTCACCGGTTAAGAGCAATGGCTGTTTTTCAAGGGGACCCAGGTTCAATTCCCAGAACCCACATGACAGCTCATAACTCTAACTCAGTCCCAGGGTACCTGACACCCTCATGTAGAAAAACATCAATGTACATAAATTAATAAAAAATTCTCTCACATATACATTTTAAGGTAATATTTTAAGCTTTAGAATCCAGTTGATTGATCAATTGACATTTTATCTATTTTTAAACAGTCATCCTTCCAGTTTTTGCTTGTTTGCTTGTTTTTCCAAGAAAACAAATTTAATAGAAACTATTCTATCTTTACTAATATTCTCTTATATTAACAGTATTCAAATTTTTAACTTTTGAGATAAAGTTTTATATTATTCCCCATTATTTAAAGCTCAAAATAATTTCTATCAGTGTTTTTATAGTAAGGAGAAATAATAAAAAGAAATTCATGAGGTTATTTATTTATTTATTT